TGGAGAGTTTAGTAAATGGCTGCACAGGACCATCAAGAGTGGATGCCTCTTTCCGCGTAGCTGAGTTTTCTCAACAGCCAATGGCTTACTTTAAGTACCTAAAAGCCTTTCAGTTAATTTTATATTGACATATTTCTCAAATGCTTGCCAGACTTCCTTGTCATTTTTATCCAATTATCATTTTTGGACACAGACTTTTAGATTTAAAATTCTCCTTAGTAAGCATCTAGAGACATCATTTGACAGATGGGCCCACTGAGGCCAGAGAGCTATGCGGACTCACCTATGGTCACAAAGTCAGGGCCAGTCTAGTCAGGGCTACAACCCCAGACAGACGCCTGAGACCCCATGCGAGGGGCACGCCTCTCATGGCAATGAACCTTTCCAAGGTGACTCAGGTCATCCCCGCGAGCAATGTTTCACTGGCCTGCTGCAGTGTCATGATGCCTCAAGGCCCTCTGCACTTACCCCTCCTCTAAAGTGTCCCTTTTGTGCTGTACTTTTATCATTTCTGTCCTGATCGTCACATTATTTTTACTGAAACTGCCTCCCTGACTGAATGCTGATTATATCACCCCTTGCTGCTTTCAATGGACTACAAACAGAAGACACTTTCTAGCTTTTCAACCTGTATTTCCCAAATCTGGGGAGCTACTTAAACAAACTCGTTAGAATCATGTATAAATGAAAAACAAACAATGGCTGGGCAATGGACAGGCTGTAAACACACGGAGGCAGCCACGGATTGTCACCACAGCTGTATCCCCAACACTCAGCACAGTATTGAGCACAAGACAGACCCTCAATAAACACCTATTGAGTGAATAAGTACATGAATCAATGACTAGCTTTCAGGTGAGTTAAGGGCAAAGCCTGCGCTATTGCATGACGTGTAGTCTAAGGTGCCAAGTTGAGCCACAGATGGTGCAGTTTCCAGCATCAATTTCCTGACCCCCACCCCCACCCCGTATCGCCTTGAGCTGTCCGTCCAGAGCCCTTCTCCTTCCCCATCACTGGTTAGCACCACCCCCATGCTCCCTCCTGGTCCCACTCTCTTTGCACGGCCAGTGAAGGAGGGAACTAACATCACTGAGCATTTGCTGAGTGTCAGCACTGTCCGGTTGACCTTCACGTGTGACTTCATTCCATCCTCAATCCTCAATCCTATGAGGAAAGTACTATGTACCCCATTTTGCAGCAGAGGAGCCTGAGACCTGGGACATTAAGCAACTCGCCCAAAGACCTCCCTGTAAGTGGATGAGTCTAGAACAGTGCCAGGCACAGACTGGGTGCTTGATACAAGTGAGAATGTCACCCATGTCCAGCCGTACCAAAGCTGGAATGCTCTTCACCGTGCCCAGTGGCCCACCATTGAGAGGAGGGATTTCGGACAAGGGGAAGAATGTGGGCCTCCTGTTGACCCCCGGAGGTTGATAGACATGAAGCAGGAAGAGTAGAGACCCTATCAAAAGGAGCTGTGGTTCCAGTTCAGGGGGCTATCCCTGCCCTGTCCTAAGAGACATGCAGGAGCTGCCAGAGGGAATAGTAAATGTCCCAGGAGGCTGGGGAGCTTGGGTTCCTGCCAAAGCACATGCATTTGCTCCCTGGGTAATTCCTACTGGGACTTCCCACATTCACCTCAAGTCCCCTGGGTGAACTCAACCAAAGGTCTCTGTGTAAAAGTGAGTCCAGGTGCCCGCCTCTTGGAACACCATGCAGCAGACAAACAGGAAACACAAGTCTCCCCCTAATGGGAGCCAAGACTGTCACACTTGGTGAAAGGGCCTGTGTGTGCCCTTTCTCCTCCCAGAGCAGAACCCAGCCAGGGAGGGAAGGGCCCGGACCTGTCATTTGTACCACACATCAGATGCTCCCAATCTAGGCTGTCATCCTCGAGCAGCAGAGTCCAGGGACAAGGTCTGAACATGACCCACCTATTGTCGAAATTCAGCCTCTGTTCACTGGTACCGGATTAAACCTCCCTGGGGGACTCTGCTCTAGGAGACAGAGTTTTGAGTGAAGTAGAAAGAAATAGCATTATTGCTTTGCCAGGCAAAGGGGGCCACAGTGGGCTAATGCCCTCAAAACTGTGTGTCCCGCCCTGGAGGGGGTAGTGAGGAGTCTGACAGTGTTCAAGGAGCAGGGTGTGATCAGCTCGTGGACACTCTTCTGATTGGTTGGCGGTGGGGTCATCAGGAGTCAGCATCATCAACCTTCCAGCTGGTCTGGGGTCTCCCTGCTTGTGGGCAGCATACAGTTAACTTCTCCCACCTGGTGGCAGTTTCAGTATCTGCAAAACAGCTCAAAGGACTTGGCTCAGAATACTACCTATGGTCTTTGAGGAAGAACTAGAGGTCCTTGAATTTGTTTCCTGGCTAAAGTATAATTATTTTGTGTTGCTTGACTGTTTTCCTTTCTTTCTGCATTTTCTCACTTTTCTGATTAAATTGATTCTTTGACTACGGTTTTTCTACAGACGAAAGGCAGGCGGAGGACATGGGTGGGGCTCTGTTCCGGGAAGACCTCATAGGGTCCTGCTCAGTTACACTCCGAGGGGAAGCCTTGGCTCTGCCTGGTTGGCCAAATGACGTTGCCAAGGCCCTCAGGCTCTCTGAGCCTCAGATCCCCTTTCCGGAAGGGGGGCTAATGACAGCACCCCATGGATTGTTTCGCTTATGGAAACAATCCCAAAGCACCATGTACTCTGACACCCTTATCCTCTCACGCCCTGCAACCTCTATGCTGATGTCCGTACTTCCATTTTACCCTTTGCCTAGAATGCCTTTAGCCTACTTCAGGGCTTAGCAAATCCCACTCCTTTCTCAAGGCTCTGCTGAGGCGGCAGCTCCTTTCTCATGGGGCTTTCAATCAACCCCTGCCCACCCACCCTTCCTGCCAGCCCGGGCACCCTCCCTTCTGCTCTCTCTCAGCAATTCAATTCAACATCAACTACTATGTGGCAGGCACGTGCTAGGCAACAGCTGCACAAATATGACCCCCACACATGTTCCCTGCCCTCCCAGAGCTTCTGGGTGCCTGGACGAGACATACAGTTGAACAGGCAATGCCCATACAGAGGAAGCACTTCTGCCAGCCCTGGGGCATGGGGAAGGGGTGCCAGACCCAGGCTTAGGGCTCAGTGAAGGCCTCCCGCTGTAGGATGACTCAGCTGAGGCCCGGGGACGACTAGGAGGGAGCTGGTGAGTGAAAGGGGCCAGGAACCATGTTCAGACAGAGGGAACATTGTTCATGTCCCTCATTAGAGCACCTGGCAGGCTTTAGTGTAACTACGGGTTCCCAGATCTGTCACCCTTACTGAGCTGTGAGCTCCAACAGGCTGATAAATTATTCTCTTGCTCTTTGTAGCCCTGGCTCTAATCCCAGTGCCTGGCTTCCAGTGGGGAATGTGTCCGATCAATGATGGCCAATTGATGAATGCACAACAGTAAACAACCCCTGGGGAGTCAGTGCCTGGCTCTGCCGATGCCTGAAAAATGCAGGAGGTCAGAGGAGGCTGAGGTCACAGAGGGTGGGAACGCAGGAGAACTGAGGCAGGGGCTGGGCCTCAAGACTGGGAGATGCTTTCTGCAGCTAGAAGTACTGACTGAACGAGAAAAGCCTTCAGGAAGGGTTTCTCAAATCTGGAACTAGGCCCTTTGATTATTAACAACTGAACAAACGAGCTCTTACTAGGGAAATATGTCAAGTCCCCCGCTTGGGTTCAAAAGCGTACTTCCACTTGTCCAGAAGAAAGGAGATTTGGCTTAGAAACAGACTGTGTGGGGAAAAAAAAAAGAACCTTGTGGTTTTATTTCATTGCAAGCGCGGCACGATCCCAAATTGAGGTTTTCTATGAGGCACAGCTCACACAACCCAATTCATACCCCACTCTACCTGGCCTGGAACACACACCTGGAGCCCCCGGGGTCAGGACACTATACTGCAAGGAAAGTACCAAGCTGGTAGTGAGGATGGAGAGGGGCAGGTGAAGGACTAGGACCTCTGACAGAGAAGGGAAGGCTTACTGGGTCCAGGATAGCCATGATGTGATCCCGGGAGGGCCGTCACAGGGAAGGAAGACGAAGGCTCCAAAGAGCGATGGGCCGTCACGTGAGGGGCAGGAAACATTGGTTCTGAGCAGAAGGAATGCCTTGACCTGTAGATTACTCATAGATGGTATGGGTTCCCTGGAGGAGGGTCTGCCAGCTGTGGGCTGCGGAGATTCCCGCCCAAGAAACAAGCGTGGCTACCCCACAGAGCAAAGAGCACTGGACTTGGAGTCATGTGATGTGAAGCATGTGAAAGAACCTGGTGAATTGCAAAGCCCTTTGGAAATATAGGGGCTGGTATATTATTCCTTGTAAAGATCCCTTTCCTGAACTGTACCTGGGCACTGGAGGCTAAGCCTGTCCCTCCCTTCTGGAGGAGGCTCCCAGGCCCCCTGACCTGAGCCTCCCAGCACTGACACCCATCCACCCACCCCGTTCACCCCACCCCCAGAGAAGCACACATCTGCAACAAGACAGGCGGTGACTCTCTAGCCCTCCGTAAGCTGCAGGCAGAGTGCAGCTTCCAGACCTTAGCTCAACCATACTTCAGAGGCTCACAACATGGGAGGTGAGGAAAGTTGAGCCCAGAGGCACTTGTGCAAAGCAAGGAGGCAGCATGACGGTCCACCCCTCCCTCAGCTCCCTTTCTGGGCACTGGCCTTTTGGGAAACCCACTTGGGTTGACTGTAGAGGAATCTCAGCCACCAACTCAACACACCAGCTTCAAAACATACCACCGCCTCCCAAGGCCTCAGTTTCCCCTCTGTCAATGGGAGTGTTGCTCTGCTTGGATAAGCCCCAAGTTTCCATGCCCTAGTGCACTAGAGTGCCACAGTGAGGTCAGGCAGTCCTGAGGTTGAACATCAGCTTTGCCTCATCCTAGCTGTGTGACCTCAGGCCTCAAACTCTCTGTGCCTCGGTTTATAACATGTAACCCGGGAATAACTCTGCTTACCTCTAGGATCATTTGTGAGAACTAAAAGAGAGACCACTAGGAACTTGCTCAACACAGAGCTGCACAGTAAGTGCCTTTATTATTGTCGCCATCTGGGGCAGGGGTGGGGGCGTGGTCTTGGGACTGTACTGTAACCATGGGATCCCAGGGCTTTTCTGCAGCAGGGCAAGTTTTGATGGGAAAGAGGTTGGGGTCACTGGGCCTGTAAGTGAGGTGGGACCACCCTGAGTGAGGCAAATAGTCCCAGGGAAATGGGGGGAGAGTCCAGGCACCTACAAAGTCACGGCAGTCGAAGTCCCAAGAGATGCTTCTCGAGTCCTGGGGTGGTTTTCCAGACTCCCCCCACCCCCGAGGGCAGGGAGGGCGCTTCCCAAGTCCTGAGGTTTCCAGGCCCCCCGAGGGCACGGGCAGGGTTGCCGCATGCCGCCTGCCTCTCGCCCGCCCGCCCGCAGGTGCGCCGGCGCAGCGCTGGTCCATGAAGTTGCCGGCCGAGGTGAGTGCGGCGGTGGGCGAGGCGGCAGTGCTGCCCTGCACCTTCACACACCCGCACCGCCACTACGACGGGCCGCTCACGGCCATCTGGCGGGCGGGCGAGCCATACACGGGCCCGCAGGTGTTCCGGTGCGCGGCGGCGCGGAGCAGCGAGCTCTGCCAGACGGCGCTTAGCCTGCACGGCCGCTTCCGGCTGCTCGGCAACCCGCGCCGCAACGACCTGTCGCTGCGCGTCGAGCGCCTAGCGCTGGCCGACGACCGCCGCTACTTCTGCCGCGTCGAGTTTGCCGGCGACGTCCACGAGCGCTACGAGAGCCGCCACGGCGTCCGGCTCCGCGTGACCGGTGAGCGCGCCGCCCGCCTCCCCGCCGCGTCCGAGGGCTCCCTAGGTGCGGGCTCTGTGCTGGGATGGGAAGGGGTACAACAGGCACATCCCTTTCTCTAGAGCAGGGGGTCTCACACCCGGCGATGGCTTCGGGCCACCCGGGAAGTTGTTAAAAAATGCCGCCGAATCCTGGCCCCAGGAAGGGCTGGGGGCGGCCTGGGTTGGGCCTTGTAATGAAGCTCGTAGAGAGTGAATATGCCCGAACAGCTCTCAGACTAGGGGGGAGAAAAACAAGGAACGGTCACCTTAAATATGGCAAGGACTGCAGTGGGCTGTGTGCACAGAGGGGGTGCACAGGGAGCCCGCCAAGTGCCCGGCGCTTCTCTAGACCCTGTGGTGTAAAGATGTGGGAATCAGGATCCTAGAGCCGTGGTTCTCAACCCTGGCTGAGCATTGGAATGACCTGAGGAGCTTTGTAAAAATCCCGGAGCCCCCCTGTGGGGGACCCAGGCGTTCTGGGTTGAGTTTGACGCTGCCAAGAACCTCCCATGTGCCCTGGGGCTGGCTGGGCCGCCTCTCTGAGTGCATTTCAGTTTCTTTGCGCTTGTCCGCCCCAGTCCCACAGTCCCAACAATTCAGTGAATCGTCTCAAGTCTAGGTCCTGGCGAGGCTGTCTGGGAGTGAGAGGTGCCCTTGAAATCACTCCAGCAGACTGCCCCCAGTCGTGTGCTACCGCAATAGTAACGACGTTTAGAGAGCACTTGCCCAGGTACCCCGCTTGTCAAATCTTCTCAACAGCCCCGTAATGTAAGTGATCCTCATTTTACATGTGAAGAAACTAAGGCACTGAGCAGCGGAATAACTTGCCTAAGGTCACACCGGTACTGGGACCCAGGCATAGTGGCGCCCGAGTGCCTCTTCCTTCCTCTCCGTATCACCTGCTCCCCCGCCCCTTCTCCAACGCTCTGGGCCAAGGAGACGGGGAGGCTGCCCCTTGCCCTTGCCTTGCCCTTTGCCTGCCGCTGCTCTGACCACACTTCCCTTCCTCCCGCTCCTCCTGGGCCGTCGCCCGCAGCCGCCCCACGGATCGTCAACATCTCGGTGCTGCCCGGCCCAGCGCACACCTTCCACGCGCTCTGCACGGCTGAAGGGGAGCCGCCGCCCACCCTCGCCTGGTCCGGCCCAGCGCTGGGCAACGGCTCGGCCTCCGTGCCGGGCCCAGGTCAAGATCACGGCCATCAGGTGACCGCCGAGCTGCCCGCGCTGGCCCACGACGGCCGCTACACGTGCGCGGCCTCCAACAGCCTGGGCCGCGCCGAAGCCAGTGTCTACTTGTTCCGTTTCCACGGTGCCTCCAGGGCCTCAGCAATCGCCCTCCCGCTCGGCGCGCTTGGTCTCAAGGTGCTTCTGCTGCTCGGCGTTCTGGCCGCCCGCGCCGCAGCCCGCCGCCGCCTAGGTGGGTGCGCCCCAGGCCAGGATGGGTGCGAGGGGCGGCCAGGGCTCTCCTCCAGGCTGACCACCTGGCATGACACAAGCAGAACATCACTTATGCACCTGTGCATCATCTCACTTTCCTCTCCCTGCATCAAGCCCAGGAGGTGGGAACCAGCGTGAGCCCATTTTACAATCAGGAAGCTGAGGCCAGAGAGGTTAGGGAACTTACCTCTAGCCTAGAGTCACAGAGATGTAGACCCAGACGATATAGCTCTGAGCCCACCTCTTTACCAGCACCCCATTAATGACTCATCCAGAAGGGTTCCGACCACACACAGGCTTTCCCAAATAGCACCATTTCATTCGGTCACAATGTGCTGCATAGGTGCTAGGAATACAGAGATGAATAGGACATGGTTCCTGATGCGTGTGTGCTGAGGAGTAAGCAGATAATTGCAGTCTGCAGAGAGAAGTGCTACCAGCCCACGTACTAAGGAAGCCCAGAGAGTGTGGGCCTCTCTCTGATGGGGCATCCAGACGGGGGCCGGGAGGGAAGGCTTTACACAAGGGGAGGCTAAATCAAAAGCTATAAGCAGGTGCGAGCTAGGAAAACAAGGAGCTAATAGTACTCCTAGCAGACGGAACAGCATGTGTAAAAGAGTGGAAGCTCGAACTAGCAGGCCGTCTTCAGACAGCTGCCGTCACCCCTCCCTACTGTCACTAAGCTGGATGGGAAATTTGCTCTGGGCCCCGGAGAGGAGACTTCCCAGAGCCTCTGACCACCCAGGTGAGTAGCACCAGCCTCAAGCTCTCCTGGGATGAAATCCAAAATTCGTCACAGTTGCTCTGGCTACCGTCTTTGCTGGGGCCACACTGGCTTTCCGGCAGCGTCTTCAAACCCACCAAGCATTCTGTGCTTCAGGGGCCTCAGAGAAGCAGGTCCTCCTGCTAAGTCGGCTCCTCACTCCCTGTCCTCCCCGGTGATTCATCATCTTTCAGGTCACTTCTTCGCATCCTGCTGGCTAGCTTTTCCCTCCAGACCACTCTCCTCATGGGGCGGGCTGGACAGCGGGGCTTGTAGCCCAGAGGCTACCATGGAGATTCATGCCTCCTCTCTCTCTGTCCCTCACACAGAGTACCCAGTCACCCAGGACGCCTCCCCGCGGTAAGTCAGCTCGCCCACCCCCACCCTGCCCCCCTGTAGTCCACCCCTGGCCAAGGGGTGCAGGCTCCTCATGGAGGGCAGCCTGAGAAGGAAGAATGGGCAAAGGGCTGGGGCTGGGGTCCCAGCCCTGATCAGGGTCCAGGCCCTCCCTGCAGCCTTCCCCCCTACTTCAGTCCACCAAGCCTGGCAGCCAGACCGGGCCACGCTGACCTGCTCCCCACGTTCCCAGCACTGACTGTGGGCCTCACACTGGCCTATCTTCCGGACCAGCTGCCTGGTGTCCGTGGTGCTGAAGGGTCATTTTTCTGGGTCTGCCTTATCTCTGCACCTAGCTGTGATCCCTGGAGGCTGCATTTCCTCTCATAGTGCCCAGCATTCTAGAACAGATCCACACAAAATCCACCATTAGGCAGTGATTCTCCCAGACACCCTGCTGCAGGCTTTGCGAGCAGAATGTCATTAGAGGTCCTGAGGGCTCGGTTGAGGGCTCACAGACTCAGCTAGGAAGCATTGACCTTGCCCCCCTCTTGGTGTCTGTCCAAGTGAAGGCCTGTGTAGAAGAAGAAAGCATCCAATTCCAAGACCTTGTCCAAGATGCTTGGGGCAGGCAGGCGGGGGATGACAGCCTTCTCTAGGACCCTTTAGACAAGCCCGGGCACTCCCGTAGCGCCGTTCCCACCCAGGCACAGCTCAGTGAATGGTTTAAGCAGACAAGTGGCCCCATCTGAACAGGAGTGGAGGCCAGGAGACCTTTAAGGGCTGTTGACCAAGGCTGCAGCTGGCTAGGTTGCTTGGCTGAAGATGGCAATAGAGGGGGCGGGGAGATGGGGCAGACAGAGGCAGGGATGGCCAGAGTGGGCAGCACAAGCAAGGCAGGGAGCCAGCAGGTCTGGAGCTGGCGCCCCGGGTGCCACCTACTGAGCTGAAGATGGCGGGTGGTGTGTGGTGAGGATCACACGAGCTCTGTGGACTGTTTATGTTTGAGAGGCCACGAGGATGTCCCGGAAGTCAGGAAAGCGGTTAGGGTTAGCAGGAGGCCCGACCCGGAGGTCAGGACCCCAGAGATGGTTTTTGAAGCCACAGATGAGATCCCTTTGAGAAGACAGAGACTCTGGGATGCTGTCACCCAGGTGGTCCCCTCCCTGGTCTGCAAGTTCTGCCGCTGCCCTGCCTCCAACCTTCGGTTAGTCTCCAGGCCTTGTTGGATGCAGGCCCCCGAATTCCCTCTCGTCCCTCCTTCCGCCCCTTCCTGGGCTATGGTTTGGGCAGTCAGAGACCCCTCCTGTTTGGGTTGTCAGCCAACTTTCTCCTGTCCACAGGCCCCAAGCTCAGGAGTCCAATTATGAAAATTTGGGCCAGATGAGTCCTCAGGGTCCACCAGCAGCCGTGTGTTCACCTTGAGGAGCCCATTGGCCACTGGCATCCCCTGGACACCATGAGGAATGAAAGCCAACATGTGGCTTGGCTGGGATGGCCCTTCCTGGCTCCCAGGCACCTTGGCAGCCCTAGCCTGGCAGCACCCTGAGGTCAGGACCCTACTCACAGAGGCTCAGAGGTCTCCTACGTGGACTTCTGTCTCCAAGCCCCAGAGATATTTCTGTCAACGGGGCAGCATTTTACACGCATGCGCACGTGTGTGTGTGTGTGTGTATGTGTGTGTGTGTGCCTGCACTCGCACATGAGCCCAGGTGACACTTCTGCAAACTCGTCTTGCCTTTGCTTACCTAGAACACTATAGTAAAGCAGGCAGGACCCTGGTCAGAGGGGTCTCCAGGCCCAGGCTCCATCCTCGTTCTGTCACCGACTTGCTGTGTGGACCAAGGCACTTTTTTCCATTCTTTGGGTCTCTGTTCGTCCACTGTTGAACACCAACAGTAACAGTCTTCTCTGCTGGCTTCGGGCTGTCAAGGTCTGAGGAAGTAGTGGATGTGAAGGGACTTGGGGCAGTACAAAGCTGTCTACAGGTGTGAGCAGTGTTACAGGCTCCTCCTTGCAGAGCGACCTTGGGACATCTAAACTTGGACAAGCATAGCACCCACACCGGCCTCGCTGGGAGTAAGGATTCCGGAGGGCAAGTCTGGGTCTGGGCTGTGCCACCCTGTGGTTCCAGGAACATCAAATCAGCAACAAGGAGAAGCCCGGTATCCCTGGCCCCTGGGGTCTCCTCTGTGACTGTCCCACACTCTGCCCTCCTCTTACCCCATCGGCTCTCTGCACAGCCTTCAGCTGGGAACTCTGGGAAAAAGGAACAAAACACCCATCATCTCAAAGCATGTGGAATCCACTGTTCTTAAGGAACAAACTCTGGGAGGTGTGAGCGCAAGTCTGGGCCAAGGGTGTCCGTGGATAAAGCAGCTGCAGCCCTGACCTCTCTACCACCTGCCTCTTCTCTGGATGTGCACTGGCCAAAAGCACCGGCCATTTCCCATTTGCCCGAGGTTGCCAGGCTGACTGCAGGGTGCTGCCTTCCATCCTCACACTTGATTGGTTTAGCTCCTGCAGTCTTTGGGGGCAGGGAGAGGGGGAGGAGGCATGCTTGGGACCCAGGCGAGCTGGCAAAAGGGCCACAGAGATATGGGCCTTCGATGGGAACAGACTTTCTTCCCTCCACAACTTTTCCAGACGCTGCAGTGGTAAATTGGAGTCACCTACAGTGAGCATGGGGTCCTCTCTGATGCTTTCCGGGGAGAGGCATGAAGGCTGAAGGATCTTCACAAGTTAATAAGCAGGGTGGTGGGCTACAAGGCTCCTCACTGGAGCCTTCGCCAGAGCAAAGGGGTGATGGCGGCTCACGGTTAACTTGGGATCATCCAGGAGGCTGTCTGAGTTGTTAAGAGGGCAGTGGAGTTGGCATTTGTACCTCTTTGTGCAGGGATACTTTGGGCACCTCCATCAAGAGTCCTGTATCGTCAGGGAAGGGCACGGGTGATGTGTCTTATACCATCCGCTTGGTCTTTGAGGCCAGTTCCACAGCCAAGAAAAAGTGATAGGAATTACTTCTTATGCATCATTTTGTGCTAGTAGTTGGCCACGTGTTTGGGGATATAGAAATGAATAAGGCTGGCCTAGGTCGTGCTGCAGTAACAAAGCCAAATCACACTGGCCGAGAACAATTAGGGTTTCTTCTCTCCATAGCTGCATGCCCGGCACAGATCGGCAAAGAGCTGTGCGCACTGTACTTACTCAGGGACCCAGGCTCCCGGGGATCCACCCTCTCTAATGTGGATTGCTGGGCTGGAGATACAAAGAAAGCTCTAGAGGGTCTTCCACTTGGGATCATAGTTCACTGGCCAGAACTAGCCACATGCCCCACTCTCCTGGAGGGGCTGGGCAGCGTGACCCTTCACTGCACCTGGAAGAAGGGAAGCCGGAGCATTTGGGAACAGCCCTGACAGCTCCACAGGAGGACTCTCCAGGGGTTCTCATGCTCGTGAGCAACACAGACTAGTAAGTGGGAAATCACGTGAGGGCACCAGTCTGCTGGGGGTGCTGTGGAGCACATACAAAGGGGTGAGTGACCCAGTCTTCGGAAGGCTTCCTGGAGGAGGGGACGTGGAGATGGTACACACTGGCCACACAAATGGGGGAGAATGGAGGTTGAGCGGTAAGAAAAAAAGTCATTCTAAGCAGAAGGGTCGTTCTGAGCAAAGGCCAGGAGGTGGGACACAGGGTGCTGTCTAAGCAGTTGAAAGTTGCTGGAGCACCAGGGTAGAGACAGGTGTGGCTGGAGCCGAGGCCACAGCATGGAGGCTCCTGGGTGTGGAGGGCTCGGCCCCAGCAGGGATGAGCAGCTGGAGGGAGTCAGGGCGCCCTGCACTGCCTGCACGGCTGCTTTCACTGTCTGACCACTGCTCTGCTCCAGACCCACAACACCTTGGGGCTGGGGTTTCCACCTTCCGACCCTGGGCTCTCAGAGCAGCATTTCCCAGGTGAGTTCCAAGGATCACCTGTATCAGGAACACCTGGGACGCTTGCTCAACTCCCCATCCTCAGCACCACCTGGACCACCTGGACCACAGGCTCTGAGGGCAGGGTCTTTAGACAAATTATCCAGGGGATTTTGTCCCTAACTTTGTATTATGATCATTTTTCAAATACACACACACACAGCTGAAAAAGCAAGACGATCACCCAGGTACCCACCACCTACATTCAACACTTACTAACATTCTGCCCTATTAGCTTAATGCACAAGTGTGTGTATATGTTTATGTGTGTGTGTGTTTGGCTGAACCACTGAGAGTAAACTGCAGACATCACAGTAAATGTCTTAAATGTCTCCTGACAAGACCATTCTCCTGCATAACCTCAAGGCCATTATCACATTTGAGAAAATTAACAATTATTCAATAATATCATCGTACAGCCCACATTCATATTTCCCCAACTGTCCTTTTTTAGCTTGTTGTTTCCAACCAGGGTCCAGTCGACTCCAGGTGATTTTTAAGCAAGATAGGTTGGAGACTCCCTCCGAGTCAGCCTGACTTGTAAGGGTGCTGGCTGCCAACCCGGTGGTCCTTCCTGCGGTGTTTGCAGTCTGGAATAGGGCTTCCTGCGGGCTGAAGCAGCAGCATTGCTCTCTGCTGCAGGGTTTCGGACACAGAGATGGACCGTGGGGAGGCACAGTTCAGGAGGGACAGGCACAGTTCCTCTACCAATTTGCTCACAGTGCCCAGGCAGCCTCCTGCTCAGCCTCCGGATAAAGCAACTGCTAGGGGGAGAAGGGGAAGGTGGTGAGGGGACTGCACTTGACCATCATCAGACCCCCTGGGCTCACCTCAGAGCCAGGGAGTCCTTCCCAACTCTCCCCTCTCAGAGCACCCAGATGCCATCGGTGGCAAGCAAGGACCAAGCCACAGGCGGCAGGCTCGGTCAGCACAGTGTCCTGGGCCTGAGAAGTGACCTAGGAGATTTGGTGTTTTGGAGACAGGACTTGGCAGTGTGGTGCAGGGGAGAGTGCTCTGCGGACATGAGAGGGGCTTCTGACACCCTGCAGCTTCCCTCTGTTCCCAGCCGCCCACCAGGCTGCTCCTGGAGGTAAGCAGCAGGAGGAAGGGCGACTACTGCCCAGGTCCACCAAGAGCCTAGCACACCTTCCCTGCCCTCAAGGAGCTTATGTCCTAAATTTTAAATTGAGATGTAGCTGCATGAGAACCGTCCACGAGATAATATACGATGAAGGTAGGCCTGCCTTGGGACAGAAATGACACTGAGTGGGGCTGAGTTTTTACATATATACATATGCCCCCTCACCAGCCTGGATGACAGAGCCAGGTGAAGGCAGGGCTCAGCCAGCCACAGGGCCTTCAGGCCAGGGACCTTACAGACCATGAGTTGGGGTCCTGAGCTTTGTCCCACCTCCAGCCTGGCACTTAGGTCCAGTTCCATGCCCTCCACAACAATACCCCTCATTTTCTGGGGGCCCCTGTGATCGTCAAAGTTCCTTCCCTTCCATGATCCCAGGCAGTTCTCACTAAAAACCCAGGAGACAGGCAAGGCTGCAATTATCCTCATTTTAAAATGAGGTAAAAGTCTCAGGGAGGAAAGTGACCTGGCCAGGGTCACACGTGCTTGTGACAGAACAGCTCTGGTCCCAGCTCCTTCCACACGCATGCCTCCTTTTCCTTCCCAGGTTCTCACATGCCTTTCCTCCTCTCCTGTGCCCCTTCCTCTTTGTCATAGTTTATGAGCTAAAGGGAGAAAACACGGTCTGCCAATACAAGGATACAGAATTATTTGGGATTGGAACTCCCTGGTTTTCCAGGGTTTGGGCCGCCAGACCTTCTCTGTCCCCAACTCCCACATGCCAGTGAACTCAGAGGGGCCACAGGGCTAAAGATTTCCCCGGGAGAGGCCCTGTGGGGACACTCACCTCCACACCTCCACCAGAGGCTGCTGGCTGTGACCTCAGGTGGAAGAGCAGAGAGATGGGGTGGGGAAGGGGAAGGGGGAAGGAAGAGGAAGTGAAGGGAGGGAAGGTACAGAGAGGGGCCTTAAGAAAGGTTAAGGAGGACGTGTCAGGGAGCAGGTCAACTAGAGCAGGCTGAGAGAGTCCAAGGTAAGTCTGGTCCAAGCCACAAATTTAGGCCATTATTAAAATATGGTGTCCAGGAGAGAGATCAGGTTGGCCCCTCTGACCAATAGGCGGGGAATGTGGGTCTGTCTCCTAAAAGGGTTTAGGCTAGCAAAGGAAGACCAAGAGGGAAGAGGGTTGTCTTCAGAAGAGAAGCAGGTTTTGGAGGAAGATCTTGGCTCCCTATCCTTAGGTGAAGGATTCTCATTTGCCCCGTGGTGACATGGACCACTTTGGAGCTGCATTTCTTTGGGCGTTTCCCAGCAAGGAAGCCCACCTGTCTAGAGACAGGTAACCCGATTCCTACACTAGTAGGAGGTGGGACAACTTGCCTCTAAGCCACTTTCCAAAATCCTGTGATTCTGTCTGGAGAAGGAAGCCAAACCCAGGCAAGGGCGCAAGGGTTGGGGAGACACACAGGGCGCTGTCCCAGGGAAATCCCAACTGACGTAATCCCAAATCAAATGTGCGGGCCCTCTCACCATACTTTGGCCCATTCAAGATGTGTCTTAATGTAATGGAAATGAACACTAAGGAAGAACTCCCTGGCATTCCAACATGAAGTGACTTCTGGAGCAGACTGTGACCAAGCTCAGGTTGCACTGACCTCCCTGGCAGCTTGGCTGCCCTCCCAGAGGCGCCCTGCCCCCACCCAGGAACTCAGGCAGTGGAAGCCTTAGTGCAGCTTCATGTACCTTCTCCTGCTAGGATCACAAGCACATTACAGACCTCAGGGCTCTCCTGAACTCTCTGGGGTCACCAGGTGGTCCCCGTCTATGCCAATTCTTAAACCCCCAAGTTTTAAGTTCTCTTTGAAACTAGGGGCCTCACCGATTGTGGTGAAATGTCACAGAATATAGATTCTACCCATTACAAGCTTTATAATTTCACATTTTTCTTTTTGTGATTTTTGGATGAAAAGACCTGCCAACCAACTTGCCCAAAATGAGGTGTCTACCACACGTAAATTAAATTTGAATCTAGTTTATTTGCAGAATTTTACTTAACCAATTCTCTTTTCTTCCTGTGTTTCATCACTATATAAAAACTCATCCTTTGTACAAGCAAGTAAAATGCCAACAATGAATAAGAAGTGAATATTGCACATTTAATGACCAAAATAACTTGTTTTTAAAGGCCACACTAGGCATGTGGGTAGGAAAAAAGAGTTGAACACATTTAAGATGTATTTGCTGCCACTTGAGTGATTTAAGCCATTGAAAGAAAAATAAATCCTAAACCTCAGTGCTTGGGAGATATTACATCAGTACATTAAAAAATAAAGTTATAATGAACAACATTCCTTAGTGGTTTCATTACCCCAAAATAGGGTCAGTAGTTTTTTTTTCAAGTTATTGTCATCAGAAATCAGGAACCTAACTAGACTGAAGGAAACTTCAACTACCGCTTCTATAGGACACATGATGCCTCTATAATGTGAGAGGGTCACCACAGACCAGGATCATCACAGACCAGGACAAGGTCAGTGTTAGTGCCTGGCTGGATGCCAAGAACTTTACCCAGCACAACCCAGATGCAAATGGAAGATGACAGGAGGGAACTTTTTTTTTTTAAAGCATCATGCTTATTTGCAGCATCGTACTCTCCACTTTGCTTAATAAGACAAAGTTAACTAAGCAGAAAATTTTTCAGCTCTAAATAAAATTTTACTAGCTCAGAATAAGGAGTAAAGTTGGTCCAAAATGCAGAGCAGACAGTTTTGAAGGATAAGTGCAAAGTGCCTTATTGTTAGACCTGCGACTGATGATAAACCGAGCTCTGGAGCTTGACTCACCACTGATTGAATGTGCCAACCAGAGGGCACAGCTGCTGAGAACTGATGCTGCCCACATGCCCAGGGGAGCAAGCTTTGCTGTGTGACCCACACTAGTGTGGCCAACCCCCAAAGCAGAGGCCAGGCTGAGGGCACACGACCTAAGGAGGCACACTCTCTCGGAGCCAGCAGGCAAGTACCACCTTACATGTGTGCCCTGGGTGCCTCATTTGTTCTACCCAAGTCCTGACCCTACTGTTTCTGGGCATGGCCCTCTTCTAATAACGTGGGCTAATTTGGGCAGTTTTCCCAAAGGGCAGCCCTGGCAGACATCATGGTGGCAAAGGACTAACTAAAGGCACTAGGCATTTCGTTTGACAAAGGCTGAGGGCTGGGCGGACGGGCAGGGTCAGAGGTGTGATGAGGTATGAAAATTTCCAAAGGTCTGAAGGTCTGTCAGGAGGGGGCAGGAGAACAGCTCCAGCAGAACTATGGCCAGCGTTACCAGGAGGCCAGTTTTAGCCCAGTATAAAGCAGATCTACAACCAAGCTCACCAATGGCCACTTGGGCTTGTCCATGAGGAGCGGAACTAGTGGCCACAGGAAAGGGCAGAGGAGAGGCTGGAGGATCAGGGCTGGGATCCCTGCTGAGTGGGAGATGGAACCAGATGAGCTTTAATGCCTCTACTGACTTCAAAAGTCATGATTCTTTAACATCTGCTTCGTGCTCCAGAAATTATTCATTTCAGGTTTAAAAATCCAATAGAGGGACTTCCCTGGTGGCGCAATGGTTAAGAATCCACCTGCCAATGCAGGGGACACAGGTTCAAGCCCTGGCCCAGGAAGATCCCACATGCCGCGGAGCAACTAAGCCCGTGAGCCACAACTACTGAGCCTGTGCTCTAGAGACCGTGTGCCGCAACTACTGAGCCCGTGCTCCGCAACAAGAGAAGCCTCCGCAGTGAGAAAGCCACGCACCGCGACAAAGAGTAGCCCCCATTCGCCACAACCAGAGAAAGACCGTGCGTGCCAACGAAGACCCAACGCAGCCAAAAATTAATTAATTAATTAAGTTTAAAAAATCCAGTAGAAAACTGTGTCTCACCTTCACTCGAAAGGAAGAAAGGGCATGGACACTCTCACTTGCACAACGTGGATACACTGACTGGGAGGAAGGGGGTTGGCACTTGGTTAAAGAGAGGGTGGGCTGCTCAGGGGTTTTCATTTTCTGGACCCAGCTTCCCCCCCCTCGAAGAACTGAGAGACTCAGGCAACCTCGAGGAGGCAGACATGACTGTGCCAACAGGCTGATCGTGAAACCACCAGCGACTCGTGCCAGGAGCTTCAGGAACATGGAGGGTGGGCCCTGGCCCCATTAGGCTGGGCAGACGCATCAGCAGAACCTCCCTCCCTGGCATCTGTGCCTGCAGCTT